AGACTAAAACAACCTAAAACTTGCTTTCATTATTTGTGTTGTATTTAAATCATTATTTTATTTATAGAGATGTTTGTTTGGTCAGGACATCAAATATATAATTATATAGTTTTTTTTTATTATATTTATTATTTATATTATTATTTTATAATATTTGTATTATTTCTTTATTTCAATTTTTGTTTTGTATGATAAACAATCTTAGTGCTCTGTTTATATATATATATAATTAACTAACCAATACACAAATTATTTATTTAAATTCTGTTAAATAAAACAATAATATAAAAAGAAATATGATTTTACATATATAATAAAATATACAAATAATATTTTAAATAAAATATTAATATAAACATGTACACATTATATATTTATTATAATTATTTTGTGCTATATCTATATATATATATATATATATATATATATATATATATATATATATATATATATACACAAACATACTTTAAAATATATTTTTATTTAATTGTTATATGCAATATATATTATTTATTTTATTTAAATTAACTTTTATAAATTGTAAACAAAAAATTGTAAAACAAAAAATTGTACAAAAAATATATATACACACACATAATTTTACATATTTTTTAAATTATCTTTAATAATAAATATAATATATATTATTTTTTAAATATTTAATATTTGTTTTTGTTTCATGTTTATTGGTGCATAATATAGTATAAGTACATGTATTGTTCTATTAATCCTGCTGTTTTCTACTGTCTGTATTCAGTGTTGCAGATCTGAGACTCTTCACCAGTCGAGGACTTCTGCTGTAAACTTTCCACGCTTGTTGGGAATGAAGTTTGTGAAGAATGTGGCAACAACATCCATCAAGTCTTCACGTCATGGGAAAGGACTAAAACTTTAACAACACATACTCAATCTTTTAAAATAGCTTTTTAGGAAGAGTTTAGGAAGAAGTCTTTAGTACTGAGCATACAGTAAAACACTGAGCTGTGAATGACTCTCTCTCTCTCTCTCTCTCTCTCTCTCTCACACACACACTCTCTCTCTCACTCACTCTCTCACTCTCACACACACTCTCTCTCTCACTCTCTCTCTCACTCTCACACACACTCTCTCACTCACTCACTCTCTCTCTCTCACTCTCTCACTCTCTCTCTCACTCACTCTCTCACTCTCTCTCTCACTCTCTCTCTCACTCACTCACTCACTCACTCACTCACTCACTCACTCACTCACTCACTCACTCACTCACTCACTCACTCACTCACTCGCTCTCTCGCTCTCTCGCTCACTCACTCTCTCACTCTCTCACTCTCTCACTCTCTCACTCACTCACTCACTCACTCACTCGCTCTCACACACTCTCTCACACACTCGCTCTCTCGCTCGCTCTCTCGCTCGCTCTCTCACTCTCTCACTCACTCACTCACTCACTCGCTCTCTCGCTCTCTCGCTCACTCACTCTCTCACTCTCTCACTCACTCACACACTCGCTCTCTCGCTCGCTCTCTCGCTCGCTCTCTCGCTCGCTCTCTCGCTCTCTCACTCTCTCACTCTCTCACTCTCTCACTCACTCACTCACTCTCTCACTCTCTCACTCACTCTCTCACACACTCTCTCACTCTCTCACTCACTCACTCTCTCACTCACACTCACTCACTCACTCACTCACTCTCTCACTCTCTCACTCTCTCACTCTCTCACTCTCTCACTCTCTCACTCTCTCACTCTCTCACTCTCTCTCTCACTCTCTCACTCACTCTCTCACACACTCTCTCACTCTCTCACTCACTCACTCTCTCACTCACTCTCACTCACTCTCACTCACTCACTCACTCACTCACTCACTCTCTCACTCTCTCACTCTCTCACTCTCTCACTCTCTCACTCTCTCACTCTCTCACTCTCTCACTCTCTCACTCTCTCACTCTCTCACTCTCTCACTCTCTCACTCACTCACTCACTCACTCACTCTCTCACTCTCTCACTCTCTCACTCTCTCACTCTCTCACTCTCTCACTCACTCACTCACTCACTCACTCACTCACTCACTCACTCACTCACTCTCTCACTCTCTCACTCTCTCACTCACTCTCTCTCTCACACACTCTCTCACTCTCTCACTCACTCTCTCACTCTCTCACTCACTCACACTCTCTCACTCACTCACTCATCTCTACATTGCTAAATGTAGCTCATAATACTCTTAGATCATGACTTTTTTAATGTCTCCAAAATTAGTAAATTTATTAATTAATTAAAATAAAATGGCAAACGATAACCATCAAATGGCTCACTCGCACACACACTCTCTCTCACATTCACTCTGACTCTCTCTCACTCTCACACTGTCTCACTCTCACTTCCTCTCTCTCTTTCACTCTCTCTTTCACTCTCACTCTCATCTCTGTCTGACTTAAAAAAAAAAAAAAAATTATTCTATGTTAAGCACTTTGAATTACCATTGTGTATTTATATTGTGCTATATAAATAAACTTGCCTTGCCTCAACATCAACTGAGAACCTACACTCATAAGAGGGCAGAAACAACTCAAACCAACTCAATTTTTCTTCCCGCCAGAAACACGATCGTAACAACTGGTACGACTGGACTGAAAAGCTGAGACTTTAATGCCTATACTGTGGTTAAGACTTCCTTTGAGGTTTACAGGCTTAAAACAAAGTATTTAATTATGCTGATTCTTTTCCTGCTGTTCTCTTCTGAAAACACTGGAGATGATCTTGCCAAAAAAAGTACATAAATAAATAAATGAAATAAGAAAATAATAACAATAGGGTTTTTTATCATAAAAAAGCCACTTTAATACAACTGATTATACAGTTGGTATATGAAAAAAAAAAAAAATTGAATGAAAATCGAAATTAATAAAATAAATAAAATAAAAACTTAAAAAAACAAAACTTTTTAACAAAACTAAACTCTGATAATTACCCATGTCAGGCTTTACATGGTTAAATGATGTGACACGTTAACAGCTTCCCATAGTTTCCCAGAACGAACAAAGTGTCTTCACTTGCGCCCGTCCCACTGCTCTCAGGACCACACACACACACACACACACACACACACACACACACACGCCTGATGCCCTGACCAAGCAAACACCAGCAAATCAGTCATGAGACCAGCGTCCAGATTCAATCACCCCCTCCTGCCCCATTCATCCCGTCAGCCGAGAGCCGAGAGCGAGACAGTGGACACCCACGCTGCTCATTCACAGGCCAGAACCGCAGTAAACGCTGTAATACTGCACACACACTGAAGACCTGGTCAGTGTCAGTGATGACCTCTGACCCCCAGCATCCGGGACGGTCAGGCGTACAGGGACCCGCACGCTAGGTCTGGCCTGACACTGAACAGCAGATCTTTATTGCCCATCTTAGATCCGGGCGGCCCATGTCTTACTCAGACTAATGATGCAGCGTAAAGATAAGGATTAAAGGTGTAGTTCACCCAAAGATGAAATTTACCCTATGATTTACTCACGCTGAAGTCATCCTAGGTGTATATGACATTCTTCTTTCAGACGAATACAATCGGAGCTATATAAAAAAAAAATCCTGGCTCTTCCAAGCTTTATAAAGGGAGTGAATGGCCATTTCTGTTTTGAAGTCCATCAAAGTGCATCTATCCATGATAAAAGTGCATCTATCCATGATAAAAGTGCATCTATCCATCATAAAAGTGCATCTATCCATGATAAAAGTGCATCTATCCATGATAAAAGTGCATCTATCCATCATAAAAGTGCATCTATCCATCATAAAAGTGCATCAGTGCATCTATCCATCATAAAAGTGCATCTATCCATCATAAAAGTGCATCTATCCATCATAAAAGTGCATCTATCCATCATAAAAGTGCATCTATCCATGATAAAAGTGCATCTATCCATCATAAAAGTGCATCTATCCGTCATAAAAGTGCATCTATCCATGATAAAAGTGCATCTATCCATCATAAAAGTGCATCTATCCATGATAAAAGTGCATCTATCCATGATAAAAGTGCATCTATCCATCATAAAAGTGCATCTATCCATCATAAAAGTGCATCTATCCATCTATCCATCATAAAAGTGCATCTATCCATCATAAAAGTGCATCTATCCATCATAAAAGTGCATCTATCCATCATAAAAGTGCATCTATCCATGATAAAAGTGCATCTATCCATCATAAAAGTGCATCTATCCGTCATAAAAGTGCATCTATCCATGATAAAAGTGCATCTATCCATCATAAAAGTGCATCTATCCATGATAAAAGTGCATCTATCCATGATAAAAGTGCATCTATCCATCATAAAAGTGCATCTATCCATGATAAAAGTGCATCTATCCATGATAAAAGTGCATCTATCCATGATAAAAGTGCATCTATCCATCATAAAAGTGCATCTATCCATGATAAAAGTGCATCTATCCATCATAAAAGTGCATCTATCCATGATAAAAGTGCATCTATCCATCATAAAAGTGCATCTATCCATGATAAAAGTGCATCTATCCATGATAAAAGTGCATCTATCCATCATAAAAGTGCATCTATCCATGATAAAAGTGCATCTATCCATCATAAAAGTGCATCTATCCATGATAAAAGTGCATCTATCCATCATAAAAGTGCATCTATCCATGATAAAAGTGCATCTATCCATCATAAAAGTGCATCTATCCATGATAAAAGTGCATCTATCCATCATAAAAGTGCATCTATCCATCATAAAAGTGCATCTATCCATCATAAAAGTGCATCTATCCATCATAAAAGTGCATCTATCCATCATAAAAGTGCATCTATCCATGATAAAAGTGCATCTATCCATCATAAAAGTGCATCTATCCATCATAAAAGTGCATCTATCCATCATAAAAGTGCATCTATCCATCATAAAGGTAATCCACAGGCTCTGGCGGGTTAATAAAGGCAGCGATGTGTTCCTGTAGGAAGCAGCCACAGATGTTGGGAAACGACGCACTTACGCTTAAGTTCCTGTCCCAGATCTGTATGGTGCCGTCCTGGCAGCCGGCGGCGATGAGCTTGCCGTCTCGGCTGTACGTGCAGCACGTGGGCGTCACTTTCTTGCCCTGCAGAGATCGAGGCTTGAACACGGACTTGTGCTTCTTCTCGGAGCTCAGATCCCACGTCCGCACAGTCCTGAGAACAACACAGATCAGATAACATCAGGTCAAATATCAAAGAAATCAAATAACAAAAAATTATAATAAAAAAAAATCTAATAATAAAAAATCTAATAAAATCAATTTTAATTTTTAGATTTTAGAATTAGATCAAATTAAAATTAGATACATTAAAAAAACTTTAATTAAATAAAAAAACAATATATAAAAAAATAAAAAAAATAAAATTAAAAAATTAAATCAAATTAAATAAATAAAAATTAAATCAAATTTAATATATATATATATATATATTTTGTTGCATTTTGGCTCATTATTTCTCGTTAACAATAACATAACAATAACAAAAAGAATGCAATGAATTGCAAACGAAGCTTATAATACTCTTAGTTCGCGACTTTTCTTTTGATGTTTGTAAAATAAAACAAAACAGGTTATTTTAGATTTTACACTGGACACCATATGATCATCATCATAAAGTAAACAAAAACACCCTTGAAAAAATGTGATATATACACACACACACACACACATACATACATACAAACACATATTTAAAAAATAGGGTTAATATTAATAATAATAGTGTATTCAATTACATTTAAAAACTGATAAACCCATTCAATTTGCATGAAATAAAATAATATAATAGATATTTTCAATAAAAATTAAGTATTACAAAAATCAAATCAAGTGTTGATCCTCACGTGCACAGCCGTGACACACACTAGTAAAGACGTCAACGAGTTCACCTTTCCAAACTCACTCTTCACTAGCACTGAATGAAGACGGTGCCAAAAATGGCCATCATTTTCCTCATTTTAAACACATTAACAGATAATTCAGGATGCTTGCCATGTGTGTGTTGTCTGGTGTGTGTGTGTGTGTCTGTGCTGTAGAAACATTCCTGCAGTAAATCATGCAAATACTCATTTAAAGTGAAGAAAAGTGTAGAAAATGAAGTTTAAGAGCGTCTGAGAGACGAGAGGAATCACTCGTGTTTTTCACATCGCCGAGATCCTGCAGCAGAACAGCACTAATGACAGAAAACAAACCAATACAATTATCTGAAATAAATATTGATCAAATAATCATTATTGAGTTATTAGATATCAGATAATTATTATTTATTGATCAGATAATGAGTATATTGTTTTTGATCAGATAATGATTTATTTATTAATCTATCAGATAATGATATTTATCTATTTATCTGTCAGATTATGATTTTTTTTTATCTAAATCACATGCATGTTCTGTAAAGCTGCTTTGAAAGGATGTGTATTGTGAAAAGCGCTATACAAATAAACGTGAATTGATTTGAATAATCAGATCAATTATTTTTTTATTTATCAGAGAATGATTTTTTATCTAACAAATAATGATTTTTTATTTTCCTAATTATTATTTATCTATTTATATATCAGATAATGATTTTTAAAAAATGTATCCATCAGATAATGATCATTTATCTATTGATCTCAGATAATGATTTTTATTTATCTATAAGATAATGATTTTTTTATTTATCTATCAGATAATGATTTTTAAAAAATGTAACAGATAATGATTATTTATCCATTTATCTCAGATAATGATTTTTATTTATCTATAAGATAATGATTTTTTTATTTATCTATAAGATAATGATTTTTTTATTTATCTATCAGATGATGATTTTTAAAAAATGTAACAGATAATGATTATTTATCCATTTATCTCAGATAATGATTTTTATTTATCTATCAGATAATGATTATCTATTTATCTATCAGATGATGATTTTAAAAAAATTTAACAGATAATGATTATTTATTTTCCTATCAGATAATGATTATTTATCTATTTATCTATCAGATGATGATTTTTAAAAAAAATTAACAGATATTGATAATTTATTTTCCTATCAGATAATGATTATTTATCTATTTATCTATCAGGTGATGATTTTTAAATGCTTTAAATGTAATTTATTTCTCTATTATTTCTCTATTTATTTAATTATAATAATGTGAATTAATTATGAATATGAATGTGAATTTATTATTAATATGAATTAATGTATGAATGAATGAAATCCTTATATGGGCCACTGACAGATTCAAACTAAAATAAATCTACGAATGATTCATTAATGAATTAATACAGAGTTCAAAAGCGCCTCATCCGATCAGACTGCAGCGGCAGCAATATCTGCAGTATTAATATTCGAGTGATTGGCCTGAGGTGATGAATGGATTGGCCGCTCGGACACACGAGAGCTTTCTTCAGCCATAAACGCGGAGCGAGAGACCGTACATCAGCGTGACAGGCATATCTGAAGCATCCATGAAATCCCGATGTTCTTCCCGACATCTGCTGAACACATTACAGCTGTTGAGCGGGACGCCGCCAGACACACACACACACACACGAGCCAGATGAGCGGAGCGATGCGATGCGATTCCCAGATCACACACACCGCTCAAGGTGAAGGTGTAGACTGGAGGTCAGAGGTCAAGCGGAGGCCGACATCACGCTAATGCAGTCGTTCAGTGTCTTCAGATTACATGCAAAAGTGCCGGTCTAACTCAGATAAACACTTCAGAATTATACATGATAAATTGCACAGTGTGTGTGTGTATGCATATATATATATATATATATATATATATATATATATATAGAGAGAGAGAGAGAGAGAGAGAGAGAGAGAGAGACAGAGAGATTTATATATATAAATAGTATAATAATGATATACATATGTAAAAAAAACTATACCTATTATAGATAAAAAAATAAGTAAACTAAATATAAAAAATATATATAAAATGTAAATATAAAATAAGTTCCTAATATTAAATGTATATTAAGAGGTAAATGTAAAAACAAATATTTACATTTACTCCTCTAGCTAAAGTGACTTAAAAATGAATAATTTATTTTAAGGATGCAATAACACGAGAAATAAGCATGGAAATGTATGTGAAAAATGTTATATGAAAATGGAAATATTAAAATGTGTAATAATATTATAATATAATAATTATATAATGAAAAAAAATCAAAAATAAAATATATATACATAAAATATATAATATAAATTATCATTATATAATATAATAATAATAAAAACATAAATTAATAAATATGTATGTACAGTATAACAATATAAATTACAATTATATATTATATAAATATATAATAAATAATAAATATGTATGTACAGTATATTAATATAAAAACAACAATATAAAATTATATAATATAATAAATGTATAATAAATAAAATAATAAATCATAACATATATCATATAAATTATTATTTAATTAAATAAGTATATACATACATAATAAATAAATAAACAAATGCAATTAATAAACATGTATAATGATATTGTAAATTAAATAATTAAATAAGTGCATATAAATAAATGAAGGTACATATAAAAATATGCTCAAAGTATAAAAATGTAAATAACAAATATGTAATGTATCATTCATATGTTCTGTGAAATCTAAAGTTTGTTGGCGCCTGTAAGCTGATGAAACCCTCGTGTCCGCACTGAAGTGATGGAGAAGAGTTTCTCAAACCTCTGAGAGCGTCTGTCATCAGAAACGTCCGTCTCACTTCACTCCTCATATCTGCAGTCTCCCGTCGAGGTGAGAAATGACCAGCACAGGTCAAACATGTTTAGAGAGAGAGAGAACCGACTCTGACCAGCTGTGAACTCAGGGGTCAAAGGTCACCCGAGCCACGGATAAACACACAGATAACCTCGATAGTGGATTCCAGCAGACACACACTCACTGTGTTTAGACAAGACGCCGCTTCCAGGCCAAACAAATGTCAGACGAAACCGCCTGTGTGTCTGTCCGAGGATGGGGAACTCATCACATGACAAAGAGCAGATTAAAAACACACCAGATTAACATCACAGAACGTAAAGCAACTCGTCTGCACAAACTACAGGTCTCACAGCTGGCCAGATGCTGATCACACCTTCCTGCAGCCGTTCAAGAGGTCTTTAGCAAATAAACGGGCAAAATATCGATAGTTTTGTTCAATTAAAGATTATATGGAAGCTTGTTTCCGCTACAGAATAAAAAAATAAAAAAAGGTAATTGCGACTTTTTATCTCACAATTCTGACTTTTTAAAGTCGCAATTGCGTATTAAAAAGTCAGAATTGCGAGAAATAAACTCGTAATTCAGACTTTTTTTCTTAGAATTGCATGTTTATATCTCGCAAGTCTGACTTAATAACACGCAATTGTGAGATATAAAGTCACAACTGTGAGAAAAAAAGTAAGTCTTTTTTTCCTTAGAAATGGACTTTATAACTTGCAATTGCGACTTTCGCACAATTCTGAGAAAAGATGTCAGAATTGAAAGAATATGATATCTCGCAATTCTGAGTTTATAACACGCAATTCTGAGTTTGTCTCGCAATTCTGGCTTTTTTTCTCGCAATTGCGACTTTATAACACGCAATTCTGACTTTATAACACGCAATTCTGACTTTATAACACGCAATTCTGACTTTATAACACGCAATTATGATTTTGTCTCGCAATTCTGAATTTATAACACACAATTAAGTCAAGTCAAATATATTTATATAGCGCTTTTCACAATACAGATTGTATCAAAGCTGCTTCACAGAATCAATCAAAACAACTTAACAGTGTTTGTTTATTTACTGAATTATGAGTTTGTCTCGCAATTCTGACTTTATAACACGCATTTCTGATTTTATTTCGCAATTCTGACTTTATAACACGCATTTCTGATCTTATCTCGCAATTCTGACTTTATAACACGCAATTCTGATTTTATCTCGCAATTCTGACTTTATAACACGCAATTCTGACTTTACAATTCTGACTTTATAACACGCATTTCTGATTTTGTCACGCAATTCTGACTTTATAACACGCAATTCTGACTTTATAACACGCAATTCTGATTTTGTCTCGTAATTCTGACTTTATAACACGCATTTCTGATCTTATCTCGCAATTCTGACTTTATAAC